TTAGGGCGTTTAAACGCGTTCGACTCAAACGCAGATTTTTACAAAACGCGTTTAAACGTAGATTTAAACGCCCAAAACAGCGTTCAAACGCGTTTTTTCTCAAAATTTTCCAAAAACTAGCGTTCAAGCGCGTTTTTTCGAACGCAAACGATTACATGGGTAACGATTGAAAAGAACAAAAGTTATAACCAAAATACTGAGAGGTCCATTCTTTATGCGGTACCCGGTACATCTAAATGACTTTAACTTGTGTTTTCATCAAATTTCCTCTCGGAGAAAAATCTCTGTTCCAACCTGATTGGCGAATGAGAAACGTAACTCGAAGTCTCAGATCCATCTAAATAGGAAAAGAATCAAGCTGAGGCACATTTATAACTTGACTTTCCAACTTTTTCGGCGCATTGTTTAAAAAGCGTTGCAAGAATAAAATGGTGAATGAAAACAATGCTGAACTGAGTTTTTCACGTTCTTCACACAGTGAAAGAAAGAAAGAGAACAGAAAGATCCTTATTTGTTGTGTGTCTATTTTTTCTTCTCTCTCCATGTCAAATGGGTGGCAATGTCTACACATAATATATGTTGTGTGAAGAAAGATATCTGCTTATTTGCTAGATTCCTATTGTATGTAATGTTTCTTTTAGTATGCGCACAAGGTATAGTGTATAGAAGATGACAACAGACTATAACGACCATAAGTATTTAATTTCTTTCTCCTATGTCTGTTTTTCATTCTCTGTATTTTAACAATGAATGCTGTTTTCTCTGTTCTAATCAGTGCGAACGTATGTTTATCCATTTTTTTTACTTTAAAAACAAAGAAAGAAAGTTTGTTTTTGTTTGTTTTTGGACTCTCCTTTGATCTCTATATAACTTCTCTCATAGCTGACTTTTTTTAAATACTCTTTGCAATACGAAAAAGTAATAAAATATTATAGATATTTAAAGATGGATAAGGCATAATGTCATTTACTTAAGCAAAGGTGTTGCTACTTGACAGTAAAAGAAAAACCTATAAAAAATAATAATATGTTTCTTTTAGTATGCGCACTAGGTATAGTATATAGAAGATGACAAAAGACTATAACGATAACAGAAAGAGAAAAATATAGAACAAGGATAGTGAATCGTAACTGGTGATACAGTCTATAATTATCAGCGTGTAATACAGAATGATAGTGGTCACTAGGAAAAAAAATTGTTATACCTCGCCTTAGGGTCCACCTGCAGTCAACCTGCAGGGCAGGGCAGTGCAGAAATTTCCACCCTCAACCTCTGCCTGTACAGAACAAAAGATTTTTTTGGTAACCTGCAAACTGCAACGAGGATAAATTTTATTCTGCCCCTGCGCGCTATCGCGCAGGGGTGAAAAATTATGCAGGTGATCAGCTCTGATATATACCTCCATTTTTTGTTCAACAACAAGTACGAAAACAACTTGAAGAAAGTCAAAAACAGAAACGTGAATGCCAACGAGCAGTTCAACAAACCCTCACACCTCGAGCAACCAAATCGACCGATGCAATCACAACGGTCAACTCGAAACCGCAGTCTAAACCTTTGCCATTACCAAAAACAACTGCTGACCTGATGCCAGTTCCAACCGTAGCGGTATTATCAGACTCCACGGCGTCTCGAATACGCCAAGACGAGCTACAATCACCACATGCTACAATTAAATTGTACTTGCAATCGGGAGCGACCCTCGATAAATTAATCGAATATGTGCATTCAAACGATGGTACACAGTTCCTATCTGATGTAAGACAAGTATTACTTATTGTTGATACGAACGACCTATCAGATAAATATCCCGATGACATGATTAAATCGATAACAATGATGTATAATAATATCCGATATTGTTTTCCTCAAATACAGAAAGCTTTTATTCATAAAGTCTTTCCGCGCAAAAAACTCACCAAATTATTTCCCTCACCCTATGCCGTTAACGCACAAATTGACCGTTATAACGAACTACTCGATGAGCTATATCGATTATTGTCGTAAAAACCCATATATTGGAAAACGATTTATTCGATAAACTACATCTTGCCGATTCAACAGGTAAAAACAAATTACTGTCAACAATCAAAACTGTTCTTGCACTCTCTTTTCAAGCTTGTAATCTTCCTTCTGCTTTTGGCTTTAACCCTGTCTCTTCAAACATTTTAGCTCCATCCGCTGTCAGGACCAATCGATTGTTATGTTAAACATAAGAGTGCTACCCCTCAGAGTTCAGACGAGGAGAATCCTGATGCTCGACGAGATCCAAACGGGAGAGATTTTATGAACAAAGATATTCTCACACCGATCATGCAGAAAAAACAACAAGTTTTAGCCGCTCGTCCCGCATTACTTACCAAAAAAGCAGACGAGCAGGAAAATAGAGAGAATGCCGATTACGATCATTAACGGCTTTTTCATTTCTTTTGCTTTGCATATTACGAGAAATACCATTCCATTACCTTACAATACATTTCAACGTATTGTAATGACAGCACTAATCTCTACGCTCTCCCGAAACAACTTAAGCAAATGCTTGACGGTGAAACACCGACTAAAGAAGCGTTGCTGGAATTACGACAACGTTTCGAATATTTAGACAGCCAGGCCGTAACCTATAATATGGAGGCCATAACCTATATTTACCAAATCGTTAATAATCTTGATATTGAACACAGTGAACAAGAACGCATGACTATAGAAGTAAAAAATGGCAACACGAGAGAACAATAGCGAGGATTACACCCCATTTACGTCCCCAGTTAAGACGCCTTTAGAAAGACGTTTATATGCCGTTTTCTAATTTCGACTTTAGGATCAATCTCCTCCTGAAGAACCAATTTTACTAGGAAATAACATTAAATTACTGGGAATACATCTGTCACCAGATTTGGCGTGGAAGTGTCATTTAGAAAAAAACACGCTGGAAAAAGAGAACTGGAAAAAGTACACTATTAATACAAATAGATAAATAAATGTTACTAGTATGATGTTTTAATACGTCCATCTTTCTTTTCTCCTTTCTATTAACAAACTATATAATAGTAACTAGCTATTTTTTATTCTTGTTCTTCTGATATTCTGTTTTTGAAAGGCAAACTGTTAAAAGGAAAACATGTCTCTTTTGAAATCATATCCGTTCTATTCGTACTTGCCAAATATACCAGCATCAATTGCTTTTGCTGTCATTATTGGTCTGTCATTAACAGGATGGATCGTCCAAGCAATTCAGGCAAAATTTAAACCTACTCGACTCATTATCATTGTCACTATCTCACATTTGACGATATTAATCGATTCTATTCTACGCGCTGCTTTATCAGATACAATTCGAAATACACAAGGAGCATATAGTGTATCAACCACTCTACTTGCAGTAGGACAACGTTTACTCATCGTTTCAAACTATTTATTCCTTGTCGAATGGATAATTTTATTCAAATCATCGACAAAACTTACGCGTATTGTTTCTGTTGTGGTTATTCTATTTGTTATTATCTCCGGTGTACTGCTCGCGCCAGCTAACACTCTATCGTTCAATTCTGAAAAACTCTCTGTGAGCGTTCATATCCGTCAAATATCGTGCGCAATTATTTTATGTGAAACTGCTAGTTTCTACGTCCTTTGGTTCTACGTTTACAAACGATGTTATTTATCATCGAAAAATTCCTATATGTGGAGCTTCACAAGATCAATTCTATTACTCTCAATCAATAGTTTATTAGCTCTATATGTGGCTATTTATCTTGTTATTTTTTCAATACCAGCCAAATGGAATGTATTGAGCCAAAACGAATTGTGGTTTTATTGCTTTCATTTGGGACCAATTATTCTCTCTCAGTGGATGTGGACATTAAATCATCCGAAATACAGTTTACCGAGACGACGAATAGTCAAAGATCAAATTCCAACACTTAGCACAAGTAATGCATTGATAGATATTTAACAAAAATAAAATCATTTGATTGCACTTATTCTTCAAACTTACAGTTAGTAAAAATAGTTTCATCTACAGGAATAAGATATCATTCTCTTAAAAAATTGGGGAAAAAAATAAGTGCGTCAAAACTGAATCAAATTTAGTGGAATATTGATATGCTTGTTCTTACAGATCTTTCGTAAAAAATTTATTGTTTCTTTTTAGGGAAACAGTATTGAAATTAGATATTATTTTGTGCTACCATAGTACACTAAGCTATTACATGCCTAAACACATTTCAGCTTGATTTATACTGCTCTATACATTGAGATTTTAGAGAACATTGATTGTTTTTTAATTGAACTTTGAGACTAGCATTTCTCATTCTAAAACTAACTGAGGGGTAGCTGTAGCTCTTGATGTGGTAATTATATCCAACTACATATACTAATAAAAACTTTAGTGTAATTGCGACATTGCTTGGTTTAACATGATTAAGAGTTTATTAGTAAACTCTTAAGCATGTTAAATCCAGTTAAGGGTATTTCAGTCGTAGTTATAATAAAGTTTTATTTCTATAGTTGCCGTTTAGTAATAACAATGTTAACGACATATATTAGTAATGTTTTCAAAAACTGTCTTGTTTCGAAAAGCAATGAGTATTTTCTAAAATCTGAATATCTTACTGGCCAAGTCGTCTTTTTCGACTAGTTTTGATTGAGTCGCATAATATGACCAGACTATCGCGGGCGTCTTCGAGATTATATCAAATCGAACTTGTCGTACAAATGACGTACAAGTCCTTGTAGAGGACACCAAGAAATTCGCCGTAGTACACGTGGACGTTGTGTTTTCACCCGACTTTCGCCGTATCCGGAGTCGAAACTTCGGCAATTTGTCGAAGTTCGGTCTTAGTTGACAGTAATTTCTAATCCACGGCATGCATTACTGTGAAAGTGTAAAACGGCGAATTTCGCGTTGTCTCTTATAGTACACAACAAGGACGGAAATAGCAACAGAACGACACTGAGCTAATATATCGACGGCAGCCAGCCGTACATTGAGATCTTATTAGAATCAAACTCATCCAAAATGGTAACACTACCCATATACCGAACAGTTGTTCGATCTATCCTAGTTTGGGCATTTTTCATTTAGAAGCTACTGTGAGGTTATTCCTGTAGGAATCGTTTTGCATCAAATTGTTAATAGCCAAAGAAGAATGTAATTGTTGCACACACATTATTTCAGCAAACGAACAACTATATATAGCCCTCCCCCATAATAGAAGACCACTTGGTCTTCTATTTTTCCAGCAAGTCGAGTTTTAAAGGGTGGGCATCTATTGCAGTCAAATTTTGTAGCCTGCTAGTAGTCCAACGGTAACCCCCATGTACTTGAAGTCCATCCTGTATTAGAAGTACATTATCATAGAAGCACAGGCAAAAGTTTTTTGAAAATTTCCCTAGGTGTATTTTCCGATTTTGTTGCGGGTATAATAGAAGACTAGTGGTCTTTTAGGGGTTAGACGGCTATGGTCTTCTATTTGGCTTTCAAATGATGTAATCGACAGTAGTCTTCTAATAGGGAATGGTCTTCTATTATAGGGACGATTTCGACATGGTACTGAATTTTTCAGATCAGTAATTCAGATTAATTGGAGTAAAGTTGGAGATGTGTATGTTATCATACATAACGAAGACAAAAGCTGTGAAAAACAGTATCTATACAGTAGCAGAATGAGAAACATCCGTTTTCGTGAAAACAAGCCGAGGAAAACTGGAGATCAACAGGGTACTTAAATTAGCGTCATAATCCGAGATCTTCATGCAAGAAGCAGAGTAGCAATGTCCGAATTCGAAGACTGAACAGAAAAGTGTGAGAGGTTATGGTTCTTTGTCTCCACTGCATATGGCTAGTCTTTGATAAAGTTTTTGAAAGGAAAAACGTTTTTTTACTAAAAATGACAGCTTTTGTTCGGGTGGTTCTATAACATTAAATAAAAGTTTCCGATACAATTCTACCCAGAGTTCTGTAAGGACGTCTAATTTGAGCCATGTTATTCCTTTCCACGAAAGCAATTTTCAATAAGTTTACGTTACATGTTTACGTTACATAAACTATAAAAAAGATCGAACTGTATGTATAAAAAATGTGAAACGAGAATTCTTTTGTGGAAGGTAAAAGTTTCAACTTTGTCACAAATCAATGAATAGAAGTATTTTTGAGAATAAAACAAGTTTTCTAAAATAATCTGCTTATGCGATCTCAGCAAATAATACATATTATTGGAAATTCACATGTTGAAGTGTTAAGTTAATCACTGACCGGTGAGACCTTTTAAGTTAAGTTTAAGATCAGAACATACACGCTACAGTTTCAATTCAACATGAGGATGCATCGTATATATTTAAATCGAGCGATATTGTCTACAACTGTTTTAGGTCTTCTTAAGGATAAGCCTGAAAACAGACTAGTTTTTCCGATAATGAGTGTATCGTATGGGAGTTTGAGCATGGATCTATTCTTAAGAAATTTGACGAATGCACATCAGTTGGTTAACAGTTATTAGATTTCAAGAGGTAGTTCGTACTACCGTTGAGAAAGTTGATTATCCAACTCAAAACTGACTTACCCTTTTAATGTCTTTATCGAATAAAGCATTCCAAATCACTTCGAAATCCAAATTTTTAAATCTCAAAATCAGAAATGACGGATACAGATTTTCTTTCGAAAAATCCTCTAGAAAATCTACCACGAACTCAGCATCGTGCTCGCACATTTGAAGTTTAACATCGCCGTTGCTACGAATGATTCAGACACCGACCAGGTCTTCAGTTGTTGCATCAATCCCTGTATCTCGGAACTCCAAGCCAGACAATCGCCATGACGTCCATTTGGACTTTTCTTCCACGACGATATATTTCACGAAACGCTGTCCTCCGTAGTCACGATTGGGTAGCTCGTTTGTTGTTGGCAATTCAATGTTGTATCGATATAAGCGTTATGTACTGCCAGACAGACCACGGGAAAATGGAACTATCGTATTCAATAAATATTGTACTTTCAAGTATCCGAATTCGAGAAGTATTCGGCTAGTGGGTTAGTCCTGCTGATTTCTTCACTGGTCTTACCTTTTTTCTGTTTTCATCGTATTGTTCTCTCTATGGATAGACAAAAACAGATGTTAATTATATCTAAATAAATGTATAGTACCTACAGACCAGTTGGCTTCGTTTAAATTATTTACCGTTGCTTCAAATGTCATAGTAGTAGGCTCAGCCAGTAGCGATAGTAGTGACCGAATTCTTTTCTTTTCTTTCACTGGGCGCGCTTTTATCTATTATAATTGAGAACAAAATATTAATATCAAAATTTGATGATATTTTTCTAGAGAAGCGGTATCTGGGGTTTTTATATAGTCGGAATCAGCTTGATGACTTATATTGTATGGCGCAAAGATCTTGTGTAAGTATACGCAATTTTGGGGTCTCAGGAGCTCCACTTAGAATACCACTGTATTCAACGGTATAATTCATCGTTCAACTTCAAGCATGCCGCATTATATTCGTTGGTCATTTTTCTTTCTGCTTCATTTTTTTCCTTTCATACGCATACATACAGCCAAATATAGAAAGGAATAAAATGAAAACTGAAAAAGTTTTATCTTTTCATCGAAATGTTCACTGCACTCACTATGAAATTACTCTATATTCTGGCAACGTTCCAGATTAAAAGTTAACAAATATGAAGATATCCCTCTCCAGTTTTTAAGACAATCTGAAGTACACAAGTTGTGCTCTATGCCGAACTATTTTTTAGAAAAGGTCGTCTTAGAGTCTGCTCGTCAGTCAAAAGGTCGTCAGTCTCGTCTACTTTTTGAGATACAGAGCTGTCAATGCGCCTTCTGTGTGTATATAGAAATAGATATAAAGCAAGAAACGAAGAAAAGAACACATTTTCTATCTTAATTTAGATATACATTTATTATATGTCCAAAAGAAGCAGTGCTCATCCGCTATTCTGCCAACTTCATGAATTAAAATTAAATT